ATTTTTTTGCTGATTGCTCCCTATCTTTGGGAGCTGGTGTGGAGCCTCTCCCTGGGGTCCAGTGGGGATCTGCTCTCTGGAGAGCTCCTCACTGCTCCCTCACGAGCACAGTTTAGTGATGCCGGGCCGGAATGACGTCATATTCTGGCACCTGGCATCACCACAGAGGGTGCACGCGAGAATTGAGGAGCAGGTAAAACAGACTGTGCTGACTCGCTGTCGCCAGTTTCCTCTCCACCCGGCCTGGCAAATTTTAGCAGAGCAGGCACCTGCAATGTGGGGAGAGCAGGTGCCTACTCTGCCTTAACAGTAAGCATGTACTCGCGGCTCGATGGGCCGCAAAGATATTCATTGTGGGCCGCAAGTTTGATATGCTTGTTGTCCACTGTTAGCAAACCCATTACTGTAACTTGCATTTTTCTCATTAAATGATTTGCCTTAACCTTATTTAGAATATAAAGCACACATTTACTTTTGCTGCTAAAATGCATAATTTTGTAGTTACAATGAGGGGAAAAAGTATTTGATCGCCTGCAGATTTTGAACGTTTGTCCACTGACAAAGAAATGATCAGTCTATATTTAATGGTAGGTGTATTTTAACAGTGAGAGACAGAATAACAAAAACAAAATCCAGAAAAATGCATGTCAAAAAAGTAATAAATTGATTTGCATGTCAATGAGTGAAATAAGTATTTGATCCCCTATCAATCAGCAAGTTTTCTGGCTACCAGGTGTCTTTTATACAGACATATACTGTCCACAGAAGCAATCAATCAGATTCCAAACTCTCCACCATGGCCAAAACCAGAGAGCTGTCCAAAGATGTCAGAGACAAGATTGTAGACCTACAGAAATCTGGAATGGGCTACAAGACCATCGCCAAGCAGCTTGGTGAGAAGGTGGCAACAGTTGGTGCGATTATTCGCAAATGGAAGAAACGCGAAATAACTGTCAGTTTCCATCGGTCTGGTACTCCATGCAAGATCTCACCTCGTGGAATTTCAATAATCATGAGAATGGTGAGAAATCACCCCAGAACTACACGGGAGGATCTTGTTAATGATCTCAAGGCAGCTGGGACCATAGTCATCAAGAAAACAATTGGTAACACACTACGCAGTGAAGGACTGAAATCCTGCAGCGCCTGCAAGGTCACCTTGCTCAAGAAAGCATATGTAAAGGCCCATCTGAAGTTTGCCAATGAACATCTGAATGATTCAGAGGAGAACTTGGTGAAAGTGTTCTGGTCAGATGAGACCAAAATCGAGCTCTTTGGCATCAACTCAACTCGCTATGTTTTGAGGAGGAATGCTGCCTATGACCCCAAGAACACCATCCCCACCATCAAACAATCAAACATGGAGGTGGAAACATTATGCCCCGGATAGTGATGTCCCGAACGGTTTGCCGAACAATTCGCGAACGGTTCGCCACGGACTCATCATTGAGTAAACTTTGACCCTGTACCTCACAGTCAGCAGACAGATTCCAGCCAATCAGCAGCAGACCCTCCCTCCCAAACCCTCCCACCTCCTGGACAGATCACTAAGAATGCAGCCTCAAAATGGATGCTGTCCAGGAGGTGGGAGGGTCTGGGAGGGAGGGTCTGCTGCTGATTGGCTGGAATGTTTCTGCTGACTGTGAGGTACAGGGTCAAAGTGTACTCAATGATGAGTCCACGGCGAACCGTTCGCGAACCGTTCGGCGAACCGTTCGCGAACCATTAGGGACATCACTACCCCTGGGGTGTTTTTCTGCTAAGGGGACAGGACAACAGCACCGCATCAAAGCGACCATCAGATCTTGGGTGAGGACCTCCTACCGTCAGCAAGGGCATTGAAAATGGGTCGTGGATGGGTATTCCAGCATGACAATGACCCAAAACACACAGCCAAGGCAACAAAGGAGTGGCTCAAGAAGAAGCACATTAAGGTGCTAGAGTGGCATAGCCGGTCTCCAGACCTTAATCTTATAGAAAATCTGTTGAGGGAGCAGAAGGTTCGAATTACCAAACGTCAGCCTCGAAACATTCATGACTTGGAGAGGATCTGCAAAGAGGAGTGGGACAACATCCCTCCTAAGATGTGTGCAAGGCTGGTGGCCAACTTCAAGAAACATCTGACCTCTGTGATTGACAACAAAGGTTTTGCCACCAAGTACTAAGACGAAGGGGTCAAATACTTATTTCACTCATTGACAAGCAAATCAATGTATAACTTTTTTGACACACGTTTTTCTGGATTTTTTTTTTGTTATTCTGTCTCTCACTGTTAAAATACACCTACCATTAAAATTATAGACTGATCATTTCTTTGTCAGTGGGCAAACGTTCAAAATCAGCAGGGAATCAAATACTTTTTTCCTTCACTGTGTTTGCTATGAATCTAGCACACACGGTTCCTCAATTTGTTCTGCAGAGAAATTGCATAATTTGTTGATTTAATAGCTACATCTCTTCATGGAAGGCATGTCTTATGATGCCCAAAGTGATCATTTTAAACTAGTTAAAGAGATATACAACCCTATCAAAGAAATGGTGAACATCGCTTACCATTTTTATGTACTGTTTTAATTTTTTAACAATCTTTTTTTTAAATTTTTCTTAAAAAATTTTTTACTGCAGGTTTTTTTTTTAGCTACAAGTACCTTTAAGCCAAACTGAAATCTAAAATTTTCATTTTACCAAAAAAAATAATAATAAATGATATATTAAGTACACTGCTGTAGCCGGACATATTTATTGTCTTTCATAAATTCCCTCAAAATTGCAATTTGTCTATAATTCTTTCTTTAAATACCCCCAAATAAAAACCCCTTAATTTCCTATGCGATAATGTCATAAGTGGCTAAACATAGAGAAAACTTGTTATGTACTTTTTAGTGGCTTTCCACCCTCCCTTGACCCCAGTTCAGTTCTAGAACTGTTAACTATGCATTCCGCATTGATCTCCAAGGTTTAGAGGGCAAGTCTTTGTCTGTTTACCGTTCCGTGAATTACGTTTTGTTAGGTTTGCATTTTGAGAGCAGGCAACAGAAATATGTTGAATGCTTTTTTAGAGACCTTCACACAGAACATGACTTTTATTTACTAATTTCTAAACCTTTATTTTAAAATAAATAAAAAAATAAAAATAAAAAAAACACTCTCGGATTCACAAGCAGTTATTAACCATGAATAAGACTGGAAATTTCTAAAGCGAGTTCACCCATCTTCCTGCAATACTGTACAATATGTCCCTTTGTTTTTACAAAGCTTTTTCTTCTCCCGATTGATGATTCAATAAATTATCTTTCTTTGTCAAATACAATGACAAACTTCGCATCTGACCTAGATGCAGTGTGAACAGGACTAAACACACCTAAAGAATTTTTCTGTCCAGATTCTTTTATTCTATTCAAAGTCTTTTACCTAAAATTTCTGTCACTTTCAATGCCAGGACCACATAAAATATTTTGCTGCAAGCAGATATAGAGTTTGTCCATATTGACAGAGTAATATATGTTTTAAATAAGTGTAAGTTATTCAAGTAAAATAATTGCCAGTTGTCTTTGAAAAAAGAAATCTTTCTTGTCTAAACTAAGAATCGGGATTTAATCGTTTTCACTTAGAAACAAATGGCTCATCAATGGCAAAACAAGTTATTAATTACAAAAAGGCAAAAAGTACACATTAAAGGGATATAGTCATTACAGTTATTTTGTATTGTTCATATTATAATGACTCAAAGTGCTGTCAGTTGTTACATAAAATTTAAGGATTTAGGAATTATAAAAGGGAGAAATCCACTTTATGGAGGTTATGCATCTTTGGTCAAACATGAGCTAGAATTAGTAACATTTTAAGTTTGAAATAGCATTAATATACAGGTGCCAAAAACTCATCTGTATGAGTGTAAAAAAAGTCTGGAATTAACATTAATTTTTTAGCATATTGACTTGACATAAACATTGTGAGGCTTATCCACTAATGTGTGATTGTTCCAGAATTAAAAGTCGACTAATCTGAAATTACAAGGTTAAACCATAACACCTCAACTGGAAACACACCTTGCTTTTCCAATAGGGCTGTCTTGATGGACGTCCCAATAATTTGTGAATAATTCAGTATGGACTGTTTATATTGGTTACTGAAATCTTACATCCCCATCCATGTCGGAGATCTTGAGGACAGAGCCTAATATGATTTGCATTAATGCACATTGTTCTTATTTCCAAATCATATAAGCTATTTCAAAAGGACACTCTAAGAAGTGAAACAACTTAAAGTAGTTTTGGTGTATAGATAGTGCTCCTATATTCTCACTACTCAATTCTCCACCATTTAGGAGTTACATTACTTGTGATTTTATTTATGCAACTCTAACCATGCCTTTCTGGCTTTGACTCAAAAAAAGGTTTAATTTTTAATCAGATCTGACAGCATAGTGTGTTTACTTTTGAAGTTATTATCACCTACTCTGTTCATTGAACATTTGCTACATTTGTTTAAAGTATAACTCTGTTCCACAACTTTGTTGTGATGTCCACACAGAGTAGAACTGAAAGTGTGATGGGAAAATTAATTGAATGGAACTCAAAAGCAAACAGCTACTGAGAGACCTACATCTAACTCTAGACCAGTGGTGTATCCTGGTTTTGTGCTGCCCTAGGCAGGACAAAACTCAGGCGCCCCCCTGCCCCCGCACCACCCCCACCCAACCCTTCCCCCCGCCCCACCTTCTAAATACACACACACAGTCAGACACAAACACACACACACAGTCAGACACACACACACAAACACACACACATACACAAACACAGTCAGACACAAACACACACACACATACACAAACAGACAAACACAGTCAGACACAAACACACACACACATACACAAACACACACACTCACAAACACAGTCAGATACAAACACACACACACTCACAAACACAGTCAGACACACACAGAGTCAGACACAAACACACACACTCACAAACACAGTCAGATACAAACACACACACACTCACAAACACAGTCAGACACACACAGAGTCAGACACAAACACACACACAGTCAGACACATACACAGACACAAACACAGTCAGACAAACACACACACACACACACACACACACTCACAAACACAGTCAGATACACACAGAGTCAGACACAAACACACACACAGTCAGACACATACACAAACAGACACACTCACAAACACAGTCAGACACAAACACACACACACATACACAAACACAGTCAGACACACACAGAGTCAGACACATACACAGTCAGACAAACACACACACAGTCACACACACAGTCAGACACAAACACACATTAACTTTTTTTTTATTTAAATCCCCCCCCAACCTCCTTACCTTTGGGAGTGCTGGGGGGGTCTCTCTTCCTGGTGGTCCAGTGGCTGCAGGTCGGGCTGGCAGGCGGGCGGCTGGCGAGGGAGCACTTCCTCTGAGCTGTCAGCTCAGCTCCCTCGCGCGCCGGCTGCAGAGTGAGGCTGGGAGCCGGAAGATGACATCATCTTCCGGCTCCCAGTCTCACTTTGCGGTGCGCGAGGGAGCTGAGCTGACAGCTCAGAGGAAGTGCTCCCTCGCCAGCCGCCCGCCTGCCAGCGCCGCCCGCCCGCTCGGGATGTCTGTTAGCCGCGAGGCTAACAAGGCATTAGCCCTGGGTATTTGGGGGGGCGGCGTTTTTTGCCGCCCCCTGAAAAATGCCGCCCAAGGCAAATGCCTTGTTTGCCTCGCGGCTAATACGCCCCTGCTCTAGACTACAAGCTCGTTTGAGCAGGGTCCTCAATTACCTATTGTTCCTGTTAAATTTGGTAAATTCCCCTCTTATTGTAAAGCGCTTCGGAATAAGCTGGCGCTATATAAATACTACTAATAAGAATAACTGTAACATTTATCAGAAAATGTAAATTTATACGACTTATTTTTGATTGTGTTGCAAACAGTAACTTTATCAGGTTGTATCCATTCCAATGGATTGGGTAAATTTAGAGGATATTATTTTTTCTTCATATTTACATAAACAAAGGTTTGAAAGGAGGGTATAGATTATGAATACTTGCCTTGTACAGTTTTTGTTTGTTTCAAAAAAGAAAATGTAAAGACTATATATAATTTAAGTTAATAATCCATGGGTTTGGGATATGTAATCAATGGGTTACATATCCCAAATCTCAAAATGTTGTGGAAACAATGAGCATCATTCTGACGGAGCTCCCTGTGCCCCGGCTGGGTACCTCCGTCAAGCTCGCTTCCTAGCTGGAACCTCAGAAACCTGAAACCTGAATATTTAACACAAAATATCTCTCCTGCCTGCAAAATTAGCAATATACAAATCTACTTGAATATGCAAATTAACCAGCTTTGCTATTCAGGTGGTGCATATTGTTGTTGCTTCCAACAGAAAGCGCTATACAGCTTCATAGCCAAATCCACCTAGTTGGTAGCAATCCTCAGCAGGACAAGAGAGCAGACAAAACATTTAACAATAAACACATAAATTATACACACACTGCACCAATAATGGACACATGTGTTCTTGTAAAAGGATAATGTATTTGACTATCTACAGTTTCCTTGCTTATCACACATGGGAGGGTCTTTAATGCATCCCAAATTATTTTGTATAGGGTCTGCCGGGATCCGGCCATTTCCTGCACAGAGCTCCTATTCATTCTCCTAAGCTACGCCCTGTCATGCATGACCCATTTATTGGCTAAGAGTGTCAGCTAATCACTCTCAGCCAATGAGCTAAGTCTTGTACTGCCAGTCTAGTGGACAGAGTGCTTCCTTGCACATGGTAGATCCAGGAAAGTTGTCAAAACATTAATAAATGGTTTCACTACTAACAATAAGAGGTGCCAGGGAACTCCTGACACTATAACCACTACAGAGTGTTGAGTGTTTGGTACTTGTAGTCGTCCCTAAAAAAACACAACACCAAGCAACTGTATCTTAATTGAAGGTACAACTAAATATATCCTAATTTTGTTCTATGTTTAGTCCAAATTAGTTCTACTAGAAGCCAGAAGTACTTGTATATCCAATCCAAATGCTACACAAGAAAACACCATCTTCCTTTGGAAAATTGTGCAACTGGATGCCTTTGCTTATACAGAAATAAACTATTAACCATGAACTAGATGTGGCAGAAAACAGTAGCAGAAACCATGTGGATGTACATCACAGAATTGTGTTTCATCAACCACATTAGCAGGATCTAGTCACCACACTTAATTTGACCTGGAAATATTGAGGCATTGTACCTTTATACTATCAATATCTTTAGGGTTCTTCATTAAATTGTGAATGGTTGATAAGATGTTTGGCTCACATAGCTGAGATTGAATGTCTGTTCTATACAGTCAGTTGAATAATATGAGTTCCCGAACTCGGAACCAAAATGTAGTAGAATCACGAACCAAATGAATCACGCAATGAATGAATGTTTGTTCGGTTCGTGATTTGGAATTCTGCCTGTGGGGCCAAAAAAATAGATGATTGATGGGAAACAAATGATTGACGGCTAGGGGTACAGACACTAAATGTTGATTTTTTTCACACATCAAATGAGAAGCGACCCGGTAGAGGGATAAAATATATAACAAATATATAAATACATAAATATATAAATAGATATTTTTTGCTTCTCCTCCTCTTTTTACCTCTATTGGTTACTTTTTCTCACTGGACCTGTGACACAAATGGTGGCAAAATGTATATAACGTATATAAGCTTATACGTATGTATGTCCCATATATGCCCCTACGCTCTGCCGAAGACCTACGTCTATCCTCTGTTCGTACTCCCACCTCTGATACTCGCCTTCAAGACTTCTGCTAGAGCTGCACTGTTCCTGTGGAACTCCCTTCCCTTTTCCGTTAGATGCTCACCCAGTCTCCAAAAAATCATTAAAAACCCACTTCTTCATAAAAGCTTATCAATGAAACTGTAAATGGCTTTAAAAATCCCACAGTAAGTCTTCATTGAATACTATTCTACCAATCTACTTTCCTAATACTATCCTTATCTTTTGTGTCACTTTACCCCACTCCCTCTAGCATGTAAGCTCATTGAGCAGGGCCCTCAACCCCTCTGTTCCTGTGCGTCCAACTTGTCTGGTTACAATTACATGTTTATTAGTCCACCCACTGTAAAGTGCTGCGGAATTTGATGGCGCTATATAAATATAATAATAACAATAATATATTCCAGTACATGTTTTCGCGCCCTTTCTGTTTGTCTGATTTGTTTTCCAGAATCTTTTTTCATTAACGATATCCAGACAAGCTGATCTGCCATATTGCGAGAAAAAAAAAACGCTCTTTATTATCAGACAAAGTGGCTCAGCAAAAACTATTTTTTTTTGCCATGCACAAGTCTACTTTAGAAATGATTAGGCAAATATCCTCAGTGTTACAGTCTGGAGTTGAATTTATGTTATGGGAGCCAATTTATTTATTACTTCTTATTTTTGTATTTGAGTTTATGGCTCCTTAACCTCTCTGATTGCCTACTTGATCGTTCGTAAGAGTTCTTGCAGTATTTTATTTATTTATTTTCATTGGAGTTAGAAGCCTGATTTAATTGCAATTATAGATGCACACATTTTGAGATTATAGAGTAATTTGTTGAACTTTTTATCTGATTTTTTTTAAACTTGCCATATAAATAATAAACGTGACCTGTATTTTAATTACCTTAAAGGCATATAATCTAATATATATTAGTTTGGGGGTGTTTAAGCAGACGTGTAGTTGAAATGTTAATGTTGTTGAACGGTTTGTCATTGTTTTCAGTCTTTGCAGGTATATATCAGCTTTAGCTTAGAGACAATAAATCTTCATCTTCTGCCTTTGCCATTCTCCACCTGTGCTCTTATTGCCTGAATGACTCATGGAAGACATTTAAACTATTTTGATGCTATTTTTTATGTAACTTTCTTCTCTACGGCAGCTACACAAAATAGACAACAATTTTTTTCTGCAACTCCATTCTGAGACATCTCAAATACAGGGGAGAGCTGGCAACTTATGGCCTGGGGGCAAAAACTAATTAGTGGCCCTGCCAAAGAGCAGTAAATTCATAACATTTGTAAATCATGCCAATGAGCCATATGTAACTGCAAAAAGCCTGACAGTGCCACCTGTGCCCCCAAACAACCTGCCAGTGATATTTCTCTGCCCCCAGCATCTCTGTGCCATATCTTTGCCCTGCGCATATTTGTGCCATCTTTCTGTCCCCAGCAGCTCTGTGTCATCTCTCTGCCCCAGCAGCTCTGTGCCATCTCTCTGCCCCAGCAGCTCTGTGCCATCTCTCTGCCCCAGCAGCTCTGTGTCATCTCTCTGCCCCAGCAGCTCTGTGCCATCCCTCTGCCCCAGCAGCACTTGCCTATTATGCTTACCCAGGGATATGGTCCAAGGCATCCCTCCAGCAGTTTGAATCCCTTTTATCATGTGGCACACGCACGCAAACGTCATGACGCTGATGACGTTACCGCATCGCGTGCATGCCAAAGTCATGGCACAAATGATGCCAAAACTTTCAAGCTCTGACATTTTGGGGGCATGGCTTCAAATTTAAAGATCCAACCTATAAAAGGCAGCTTCACCCATAGTACTTGCCCTGTTGTGGTTCTATCCACAGTTCCCAATAGTGCTTTGCTTTACTGTGTACCTTGCGTATTAACCTCCGCTATCTGACCATTCTCCTTTATGTATTCCTGACTTAGTTTTTGTACCTCGCTACTGTGATTTCTGGTTTCCTTGACTCGGCTTTTGTACCTCACTACTGTGATTTTTGGTTTCCTTGACTCGGTTTTTGTACCTTGCTACTGTGATTTCTGGTTCCTTTGACTCAGCTTTTGTACCTTGCTACTGTGATTTCTGGTTCCCTTGACTCAGCTTTTGTACCTTGCTACTGTGATTTCTGGTTCCCTTGACTCAGCTTTTGTACCTCACTACTGTGATTTCTGGTTCCCTTGACTCAGCTTTTGTACCTCACTACTGTGATTTCTGGTTCACTTGACTCAGCTTTTGTACCTTGCTACTGTGATTTCTGGTTCCCTTGACTCAGCTTTTGTACCTTGCTACTGTGATTTCTGGTTCCCTTGACTCAGCTTTTGTACCTCACTACCGTGATTTTTGGTTTCCTTGACTGGGTTTTTATACCTCACAACTGTGATTTCTGGTTCCC